AATCAATCAACCTCAAGTTGATAACAATCAAGTACCAAGACAAGGTCCGCTTCCACAAGGTAGACACACAAGAGTTGAGCATCAACAACAACCTCTTAGGCTACAACAACCGCACAATGACTTTGATGATAATTTGGACTATGACGACCAATATGATGAACCAATTAGAGTCCAACCTAGAAGGAATGGACAAGGAGGCTTTCGGGGGAGAGGTGGAAGGCATGGTAGGAACTATCAAGGTAGAAACTTGAATGATGCTTATGATTATGGTTATGATGGAAATGTTGGTAATGAAGAACATGGTAGAAGATGGGGAGATGAAGAAGACCGAGGTCTTAATAATATCAAGACTTCAGTTCCTACTTTAAAGGGAAGTAGTAACCCCGAGGAATCTTTAGAATGGGAAATACAAATGGAAAGGATGTTTGAGCTTAAAAATGTATCCGATATAAAGAAGTTCAAGCATGCCATTTCTAAACTTGTTGGTTATGCTTCTTCTTGGTGGGAGAAAGAGAAACAGGATAGAAATAGAAATTGAGATATTGCTATTGATTCTTAGGGGTTTCTTAGGGTGGTTATGAGAGCAAAATTTGTGCCCGAAGAGTATGTGAATGACTTGCTTACCAAATTTTACAATATGAAGCAAGGAAACAAGAACGTGGAGGCTTACTTTGAAGAGTTGGAAACCACTAGGGTTAGAGCCAATCTTGATAATAATGGAAGACTCATAATTTCTAGATTTTTAGCAGGGCTTAAGCATGAAATTTCTAGCCAAATGACTTTGCACAAATTTGTTACTATACATGAGGCACTCAAGGGGCTATCAAGGTTGAAAATAAACTCCAAGAAGAGAGACAACTCAAAGAGAGCAAATTCAAAAATAACAACACTTCATGGAGGAAAAACAAGGAAACTTGGCAATCTCTTTCAAATGAAAAGAAGACAAAAGTTGACTCCAAGTGGAAAAATGACAAAGGCAAACCAAAGGTGGATGCTAAGGAGTGAGGTAACAATTCTAAACCTTATTTCCAAAATCCTAACTCTAATAGGTGCTATAAATGTCAAGGATATGGCCATAAAATGAGTGAATGTCCTAATAGAAGAACCATAATCCTTATGGAAGAAGCTTATGAAAGGGAAGAAAGTAGAGAATCATGTGAAGAAGAGGAGGTCGAATGTGATGATCAAGTAGAATATAACACTCCTAATTTATCTTTGTACGTTATTAGGAGAGTGTTGAGTGCACAAGTGATGGAAGATATGAACCAAAGAGAGAACTTGTTCCATGGAAGGTGTAAGATTAAAGATTAAGTGTGTTCTTTGATTATTGATGGTGGTACTTGTACTAATGTTGCTAGTGCTTCTATGATTGAAAAATTGCACTTGAAGACTCAAAGGCATACTCATCCTTACAAATTCCAATGGTTTAATGAATATGGTGAACTTAAAGTGACTAGACAAGTCTTGGTGAGTTTCAAAATTGGAAAGTATGTTGATGATATTCTTTGTGATGTGGTGCCCATGCAAGCATGTCATTTATTGTTGGGGAGGCCATGACAATATGACAAGAATGTTCTCCATGATGGAAGGACTAATAAGTATTCTTTTGAGGAAAATAGCAAAAAAATAGTCCTTACTCCTTTGACTCCATTTCAAGTGAGTGAAGACTATAGGCATATGAAAGAGTTGAGTGAGAGAGCCAAGAAAGAACGAAAAGAAAAGATTGAAAAGAAAGAAGAGAGAAAACAAGAGAGTTCAAGTGAGGGACGTTCTTCTTATAATTCTTTCATGACTAATGCTTTTCTTGCTAGTTGTTTGACTTATTGTGTAGATCCTTTGAAGAAAAATTCAAGTGGAAGTCTTCAAGAAAGAACTCCAAGTGAAGTGACCGAAGCCACCCTAGCCCAAAATGAAGATTCTTCCATTCTTCAAGGAGGTAAAATAGAATCTTTAGAAGTGCATCAAGGTATGTTAACAAAGCCTAACACTCTTTCTTCTTGTGATGAGCATAGTGACATTTCAAGTGTTAGTTTGGGTACATTTATTGATTCTAATGATTCTTTTTGTTGTGGAGATACAGTAGATAATGATTCTAGTTGTTTTGATGGTTTGAATGACCTATTTGCTTATGAAGAAGTATTGATTGAGGTTGAGGAAAACGTAAAGGTTGCATCTTTATGTGATTTTATTGAGTTTGATCCATTGATTCCTATTGTTCATGCTTTCTATTTTGAGGATCATTCTTAATTGGTGATGGTTGCTTATTTGAAGGTGAATTGAGTGGTAAAGTTTCAAGCTTTAAGCCATTTGATTCTTTCTTGTTTGATTGTGAGATGGAATCTTTTGAGTTTGATTTGGATTTACCAATCAAAGGTTCCATTTTTGAGAAGTCGTTCGAGATTACTAATGAGATTGTTTTGGAAGCTAAACTTTTTGAAAAAGAAGAAAGTTCTTTACTTGGTGTAAACTTTCTAACTTATTCCATTCATATATTTGATAGAGCTTATTTGTTCCACTACACTAGTGCTTTGAGTTTAAAGCAAGTTGATAACTTTCATGTGGATTGGTGTTATGAGTTTAAGAAAAAGTATGCTAAATCATTCTTGAATGATAATATTGGTGAAGCCAAAAGGCTTGTTTTGTTTCAACATACCATTCTTATTCTTTATTTCTCATGTCGGCTTGAATTCATGAATGACTTGTTTATTTGGCTTATGCTTATGCTTGGACTTGATAAGGCTATGAGAGTTAATACTTTTCTTGATGATTCTTATATTGGGGCACACTTGGTATGTAGATTGGAGGTATTTCATGACAATTCTCATATTTTGGGTAGCTTTTATGCTTTGTTTTGTCTATGGATATCATTAGATTTTGGTTTGAATGGTAGATTTGTCTTACTTGTTAGTTTGGATGCTTGGATTTACCATAAATTTGCTAAAATATGATTTTCTTGTTAGTTTGAGGCACTTGCTTATGTCCAAGTTAAAATTTTACTAATGAAGCTCACTTTCTTTTGTTTAAAAGGTCCAAATTCGAGGACGAATTTCTTTTAAGGGAGGGAGGATGATACAATCTAGATAGTCATCGAGCGTTGGAGGCTACTTTCATAACGGGATGGCTACATATATAATTTCGCCAACAATTAAAGACTATACTACATTTAGTGGCTATATTTATAATATTTAGCTCCCTGGTATAAATAGCCTTAAGGTTCTTATTTTAGGGTTAGCTTATTTTGATATTGTGAATGAAAACTCATTGAGAGTGTTTAAGATGAATTCCTATGTTGGTTGATTATTTGTTAAGGTGAACTTGCAAGGGGATTGCTTCCCCTTAAGGGCTGTTCCTATAATTTTGGGTTAATTAAGTCTTAAATTGATTGGGTATTTGTTTATTTCAAATGTTCTTTCAATTTCCTTAGTTGGTTTTTTTTTTTACTAAATCTCTATCTTTCTATCATTTTATTTGTGTTCTTATTATTTTGCTTCCGCGTTCGTATCAACACAGAGGACATAAGTTCTAAATTGTACTGGAAATCCGTTGTAGTTTGCGAGGTACTGGGGGCTCATCCTCCTTTCGCAATTTTGAATGGGTATGTTCGACGCCTGTGGGGGAAGCATGGAATTGATAAGGTATCTATGTTAAAAAATAGCATAGTTCTAGTAAGGTTTGTCTCTGAAGTTGGTAAAAATGAGGTTCTACAGGGAGGAATCTACCATTTCGGTAACAAACCTTTCATTGTGAAGGCTTGAAATCCGGATATGGAATTTACACGTGAAGAGTTATATACTATCCCTATTTGGGTTAAATTGCAGTACTTGAGTTCAAATATTGGAGCTCAAAATGTTTGAGCAAAATTGGAAGCTTAAATCGTTGTTAGCCACACTGAGAAGAAAGTAGGATTGAGCTTCGGTAGACTACTTATTGAAGTTGAAATGGATACTCCTCTGCCAAATAAAGTGTATTTCAAATATGAAAGAGGCCTACTTATAGAACAAAAGGTGAAATATGATTGGAAGCCAATTCTATGTAAAATTTGCAAGAAGTATGGCCATAATGAACAAATATGTAGAGCTAAAAAAGTGCAGCAGCCTCATCCTAAGGTGCAAGCACAAGACAACAATATACAAGCTAATGTAAATGGAGGCTGTACAGGGGAAGTGCAAAATGAAAAGACCCGACCAATACCTCAATAGACTAATCAAAAAAAGGAGACACATGAAAAAGAAGGATGGGTCACTCTTCAACGCACTGCTAAGCATACAAACAGGCAACAACATAATGCTAGTAAGGGGAGAGCTAAAGAAGATAAGAATACGTTCCAGACATTGGTGAATGAGGATGTTAGGAGCTTTAATGTGCATAAAAAAATCAGTAATGGTATGAACGTGGGAGGGAAGCCTAACTTTCCCATTGAACATGGATAATCTCATGTGCTGGAATGTTAGGGGCATGAATACTCCTAACAAGCAAAAGGAGATCAAACTCCTTTGTAATAAAGAGGATATTTGTGGTTTGATAGGATTATTGGAAACTAAAATAAAGGTAAGCAAGGTGGACCAACTAGCCAGCAAACTTTTTGGTGGTTCGGGGTATATCACTAACTTAGCTGAACATTATAATGGGAGAGTTTGGGTGACTTGGAGACCTGAGTGTTTTAAAGTTGATTTACTGAATATGTGTGCGAAGGAAATCACATGTCAAATTAATCATATGAGTTTACTCATAATGACATTTGTATATGCACATAATACTAAAGAGGAAAGGATGAGTCTATGGAGTTATCTGGAAAGAGCGAATAATGGAATGACACATCCTTGGATTGTGGTGGGAGATTTTAACTCTCTTTTAAACCTGGAGGATAGGATAGGTGGTACACCTGTTACTATGGTTGAGATCACTAAATATCATAAATGCATTGAAAATTATTGACTACTTGAATTCCCACGACTGGTAGTCGATACACTTGGAATGATAGACATGGGGATAACAGGATTATGTCAAGAATTGACTGCGCTTTCATCAATTCAGCATGGCTAAATATCATGGCTAGTTTTCGAGTACAATTCCTACTAGAAAATATTAGTGATCATTGCCCTTTAAAATTGACTCCATATAGTGCACAAAGGAAGAACAAGGATGCTTTCAAGTTTTGTAATGTGTGGTCCTCACATCCAGATTTTTTGGAGGTAGTTAAGGAAGGCTGGACGCAATCAATCCAGGGGTGCAGCATGTTTCAAGTTATGAAGAAGATGAAATTGTTGAATGTTAAATTTAAAAGTTTCAGTAGAAGATATTTTAGTGACATTGTAGCAAGGGAAGATGAAGACAGGTTAGCACTTGCAAAGATACAATCAGAATTGCATAGAAATCCTCTTGATACTAGGATTCAACAGGTAGAGAATGATCTCTTTCAAAGGTTCAAGAGGTCATCCGATCTTGCTAAGGTTTACCTCCAACAAAAGAAGTAAAGTCACATGGATCAAATTAAGTGATGATAACAACAAATATTTTTTCTCTTTGATCAAACACAGGAAATTGCAACAAGCAGTTCTTCAGTAGAATGGTGACAGATCAACAAGAGATAGCAGATGTATTTGTAGAATATTACCAGGTGCTACTAGGGACTAAAGGGGGTAACAGAATAGCAGCTTTTCAGAGCTTTATGAAAAATGGACATACTTTGACTACATCACAACAGCTAAAGCTGGTGAGGCAATACACAGCTGCTGAAGTCAAGAAGCAATATTTAGCACTGAGGAAACTAAGAGTCCAGGTCTGGATAGATATGGTAGTGGGTTCTATAAAGCATCATGGCCCACTATAGGGGAGGAGGTGACTCCTGCAATTCTGGATTTTTTTGACAATGACCAACTCCTAACTCAGATCAATTCAACAAATATTGCACTGATTCCAAAGGTGGAAAACCCTCAGCTTGCCAGTTAATTTAGACCAATATCATGCTGTAATGTTATCTACAAATGCATCTCAAAGGTAATCAGTAAGAGACTCAAGGAAGCACTTTATGCCTTGGTTGCTGACAACCAAGCTGCGTTCATTGAAGGGAGATCTCTCCTACACAATGTACTAATATACCATGATTTGTTGAGATACTATAATAGGAAGACTACACCTAGGTGTTTAGTGAAAATTGATCTTAAGAAGGCATATGATATGGTTAGCTGGGATTTTTCAGAAGAGATACTCAGATGTTATGGATTTCTTATACCATTTATAAAGCTCATTATGGTAGGTGTAACATCAACTTCTTTCACTATCAAGGTTAATGGAGAAGGCTATGGATATTTTAAAGGAAAGAGAGGGCTCAGACAAGGAGACCGTATGTCTCTTCTCTTTGTGTTGGTTATGGAATATCTGTCAAGAGTTCTAAGGCAAATGGGTGACCTGCCAGACTTTCAATATCATCCTATGTACAAAAGCACTAAGCTAACTCATCTTATTTTTGCAGATGACTTAATATTGTTCGTTAAAGGCACCATAAAGTCTATATACAGAATGATGGAAGCTATCAATCATTTCAGTGGCCAACCTGGACAAATCACACATATTTTTAGCTCGGATAGAAGAGGATTTGAAAAAGGAAATCTTGGATACTATTGGATTTTCTCTTGGCTCATTACCTATGAGGTACCTTGGACTCCCCCTAACTTTAAAGAAGTGGAGCAAAGTAGAATGTCATCAGCAAATGGAGAAGATCACAATGAGGATCAACTCTGGATACTCAAAGCAACTTTCCTATGCTGGTAGATTACAGGTCATCAATGCTGTGCTTTTTTCTGTGTATAACTTTTGGGGAGCTGTTTTTATACTCCTTCAAACTGTGTCTAAAGCAATAGATAGGAAGTGTAGGGATTACTTATGGGGCAGCACTGAAGAGCATAGGAAAATGTCTTTGGTTGCTTGGAAAAAAGTCCGTCAACCAAAGAAATTTGGAGGACTTAATATCAAAGGATGCAAGCAATGGAATGTGGCCTCTATAGGTAAGCTATTATGGCAATTGGTGACAAAAAAGGATATGCTATGGGTCAAATGAGTACATGGTATATATTTGAAGACTTGTAGAGACATATGGGCTCATAAGCCACCTATGGATTATAGCTGGTATTGGAAGAAGTTGAATGAACTAAACGAAAAGTTGGCACAGTGGTACACGGGCAACATTTATAATCTGGCAAGTAGTGGCGTTTACTCTATTTCATGCAGCTACATTGCTATGGCTGATTTGAGTACAAGGTTGCGAGAGGCAGAGCTGATTTGAAGTGGACTTATGCTGCCAAGGAAGCGTGTTATGTTATGGTTAGCAAATTAAAAAAAAACTGCTGACTAAGGAGAGATTGATGAAGTTGCATATACCTCTCTCAGGAGATACTGCATGCTGTTTATGTGGGATGGATGTTCTGGAGATGCACATCCACTTATTTGCAGAGTGTCAATGGATTACCAACTTAAGAGCTGATCTAGTTACTTGGTCTGGTATCAGTATCCCTACAAAGAATGTATCTAAAACATACAATCGATAAGAGGTAGGCGTTGGAGAAGTTTTCGAAAAAAGTTGCAGCAGCTATTCTTGGTGCTATGATCTACTACACCTGGCAAGCCAGGAATTGGAGGATCTTTAAATAAATTTGCTTAACCACGGAGTTCTGTGGCAGTCAGATTAAGAAGGAACTACAGGCTAGGATCAACACACGAGCAGGCTCAAGGTAGGCAAGAAACTGTCAAATGTTAGTTAGTCGATTTTGTAGTCAGAGCAAGTGTAAAGTAGGCTGTTTGTGTTTTTTTACCCCTTTCTTCTTGGGGTCTAGTATTACTGTTTGGACGTATACTAGATGCCTTTAGTGTGTACAAACCTTTGGTTGTTATGGTAATATTCACAGATTATTGCCAAAATATATATATATTTTACGGTGCTTAATTCGTATCTTGATTTCAAGGAGTTTTTACATGTATCCTTATATAATTTATCTGTAAATTGCTTTATCTCAACGATTACAACTATATATTTAATCAAAGTAAGAGCATGAAAAATTGTGCTTCATGGTAACAATTTCTTGTATTTATTCAGAAATTGACATAACAGAAACCTATTCTCCCGGGACAACATTTAATAAAAAAAAATAGATTAAACAAGCTTTTATTGGAACAAACAATAAAGAATTTCACACCACCATAAGGAAAACATCGAATCCCATAAACCACCAGGCTATGCATCAATCTTCAAACCTTTGGAGTTGATATAATGAAGTGCCACTTCCTAATTAAAACCTTGAGCTCTTGCACTCATGAGAATAGCCTTGAGGAAACCTCTTTTTATCAGCACAGTAGTTGTAAACCATGTGTCTGCTCTGCACCCATCGGACCCTATTCCTGCCCTTAGCATCAAGTTCATGATTTTGCCATGCCTTAGCATTGCCTGCAGAATCAGTGGACTTACATGAAGAGGCCCCCGATGTGACTGCGCAACCATCAATTTTGAAGTTTCTGTAGTAAGCAGTGAAAGGAGCATGTGTCCAGTCAGTCTTGACTCTGCCTCCTTGTGTAGCCCACTCATCTGCATTCCATAAGCTGCAGTACACTTTCATTGGTTGGCTCTTTGGGAATGGAATGCCATTGCTTTCATGGTTGTTGTACACTCTAATTGGGATGTTATCTACCAAGAACCTGATCCATCATATTGAAAACAATGTAAGCAAAATAAAAAAATGTACGTTGTGGAGTAACAAAAATAGAATTTAACTAAAAATACTTAAACCATCAGATAACATACTGTCAGTATATAACATAATTATAAAATAGCTTACAGTATGCGGTTAGCGTTCCACACAATGGTGTAGGTGTGAAATGCTGCAGTTGGGTCGAACCAAAGGTGGAATTGTTGTTCTTTGTTTCCCTTTCCTTGAGAATACACGTTGGTGTGGACAGTGTAGGGCTCGCCAGTCGTATTACCCAAGAACTCGAAATCAATCTCATCATGTCCTTTTCCTTGTGAAGATAACTGATCAAGAAATAACGAACATAAAATAAAAATCAAATCACCGTAACATGGAAATAAAAATAGACTTATATTTATAAAAATCGAAAATTGAATAGCTTACAAAGAAGGTGGTGACAGTGCCAGCAGAGTTTCCAGGTACAAGTTTGAGTTGCATGTCAAATCTCCCGAATAAATACTCATTCTTGGATTGAAAACCTGAGCCAGAAAGTTTGTCAAGGGACAGAGAGAGACCTTTGCCTCCTTCTGTTATTTTACCACGTCCTTCGCCCCAAGTAATCTCTGCAAGATTATTAAAATTAGCTGATGCAACGACTAGGCTGCCCATTAGAATGGAAATCAGAAGAAAATGAGAAGCCATTGAAATGCTGAAGAGAAGATAAGAGTAAGAGTTATGATATATTCTTTAGGTTGCTTAAAGAGTCCTTTTATAGGTGGACTATATATGAGGGGGCATTATTCCTTGAGAACATGAGAGGAAGTAGAGGCTCCAAATGGAGGAAATATGGGCAACAATATTATTGAGCTGGAAACCTTAGTTTATTCGTAATCATTGCGGACCAAATACTTGTTTGCGCGTGGTTTCTGTTTTTGACCGATTATAGGGATATAATTTATCCAACTATTAGTATTATGATACAACATGCATGGCCAGTGGCGGAGTCAGGATCTCCATGAAGGAGGTTCAATTTTTTTTTTGTAGCTAGTGGGAATTGAACCCATGATCTTATGTAGATTTTGAACCCCCTTGACCACTAAACTACACTTTTGGATTGTGTTAAGTGTGTTCAAAACTTAATATATAAAGATAAAAAATAGATTTTGCCTTATATATACAGTGTAATTTTTCGGCGAAGGGTGTTCGGGTAAACACCGTTGCGCCCCTAAATCCGCCCCTGTGCATGGCATGTGAATACGTGAGCTAGCTCTATTTTCTCTGTTTACTTAATTACATGCAAGCAGTAACAAAATATACTTTTTATTGAATGGATTTTATCCTTACATATGATGGATATAAATGGAAAGGAAATAGGCTCTACAAGTAATTATTTTAGTTAAATTATCAACTTGATTTTCAGAAACACATGGAAGCATCCAAAATCATGCTGCCATGAGACGACCGAACATGAGTTCCTATACCAAACATTATTTTGGAACTAAATAATTCATGACGGTGCTTAATAGGAGATATCTGAACATGAAAAGATTTGGAGCTTAAGGGGTGTCTAAGGAAAATATTTTCCAATTTTTTCACGTTGGTTGGCTTAAATGTTTTGTAAAATATTTTCCTCATGAACTAAAAATGTTTGTCCTATCAAGCGAAGGGAAAATATTTTCCAAAACTCCTTTTCAACATTTCCCACCCTATTCCTCATCCCCACAAAGAGTACTTTCTTTTTCAATATTGGTATTTTAGGATAGGGGTGGGGGTGGGGGTG